ATAAATAAAAATAAAATAATAAAATAAAATATAAAAGTAACAGGCCAAAAACCCACAAAGGTTTTAAAAAACACTTAAAATTCCTACTTTGGAAAAAAAAAAGTGAAGGATTATTGAAGTTTAGGGCATAGCATTAGCTCTACTACCTAAAACTTAAGCAATGACTTAAAAATGAGATATGATGACCCAAGTTTCAAATTTATGAGCAAAACCTGTATTAAACTACTCAATCCACTTGGAAAAAGCAAAACACAAAATCTTTACTCTTCTTATGGCAAATTGACTTTTCTAGTTGGGAATTTTTCTCCATTAGGAACAAAAGAATTTATATCGGATATAAAAATACAGCCTGATCTGGGGCATGCCTAATGCATTAATTCATACGAGATTTTCAGTTCTTTTAGCCACTCACTTTTTCATACACTTAGTTTGTTTCAGAGCCAGCAATAAAACCCAGATGTCTACTTTTAGTACAATAAGGCAGGCGCCAACTAAAATTGGCCCTGATTAACTCTACAAAGGTAAAACCGGACCACACGTACATTCCTAATCTCTCATTTTAAATCATAAAGGCAGCTCCTCATTGCAGCTTTCCTTCTTAGCAGTTCTCATACAGAAGACTGACTCAAAAGTGTTGACAGCCCTTATGATTCCCTTCCCCAAAAGGATCCTTTCACTCAATTCAATACTTACTGAAAAACTAACATGTGCAAGGCACTAAGCTATGTAAAGATAAACACACATTTTATCCTCAGAGAGCTTACAGTCTAGTAGAACAAAACATTCAACCTAGTAACTGAAATGTGAGGTGTAAAACAGTGAGTGCTCAAAAAGGTATTATATCAGAGTTCAAGAGAGAAAAGATTACTTCAGTTTTAGAAGTTTTCACGGAAACTGACTTAAGCCCGTAATACAGGGAGAATCGGTATAAATGAAAGAGGACTTCCACTTCCACTGATGGCAAACTAGGTAATTCAGATTAAGCCTTCTGAGAAGAACTAGAGAAACCTGGCATCTGAAGGCATAGAGTCGTTATAAGAATTACCAAACCAAACTTCAGGAGAAGCCAAAAATCCCAAGGTGCAGCCACTTGCTTCCTGGGGCATTTATCAATTCCAAAAGCAGCTGTGAGGGTGGAAAGTGTTTTTGACAGCTTAATGGAGCTAGAGAAACAGAAGAATATTGGGCCGTCCATGGAGAAGGAAGATGGCTTGATAAACCCCTCAGTCTGGATTGAGATCCCCAAAAGCTACATACCAGAGGAGCATATGTGAATCAGAAGAGAAACAAAATTTAACACCAGAAAATGAGTTCAAGTCACTCTAGATCATTAATGTTGCTATCTTTAAGAGGATTTACATCATCCCAGTCTTCATGTTATTTCTTCAAATAACTTTACAAAGACATCTAGCATATATTTAAAAATAAGCCAGCACCCATATGAAAAAGAACCAAGAGAAACAATACACAAAGGTAGCATACCCACAGGACTCCTTTTATCATATTTAACTATGCTTTCTATATTGAAGGGGATAAAAGACATAATTAAGAATTTTATTGAAGGATAAAAACCCATTAAGGAAATTGCGAATCTGAAAAAGAAACAAGTAAAAAAATAAACCTAAAATAGACTAAATACGTGGGTCAATCTCAATGAATACTGACTATGTAAAATCAATAATAGATCGAACATTGAAATAGGAAAGGGCCACCAGACAAAAGGCAGCACAGACCAAAGCACAAAACTGAGGGCATCATTCAAGGAATGATAGGGATTCACTTCAGGTCTCACTGTGGTGGGGAGCAGGAGAAGTGGGAAGGAGGGGACATGGGGAGGTGGGGGGAGACAGAGAAAAGAACCATGCAATGGTAGGCTAATGCCAGACTAAGAAGTTTCAGCCTTGGGACAATGAAAATGTAAAACAGAACTGAGCTTTTTGGGAGATTAAATTGGCACTAGGGTAAGACAATGACTAAGAATAATTTAAGAGAAAGAAAAGAGGTAAAATGTGCAAGTACTGGGGATGCTGTTAAGACTGCAGCCTAGCCACCCATTCTCACTGCACTGCCTGCCTATGGAGCACGTACCCTCCTTGGCCTCTATTTCCACTTCAGTATCCTCTAAGTGATATCCTCTGATACTCCAGAATTCTCTAAAACACCAATGATTACTGGTCACTTACTGGTTTTAAAAAGAAAAAAAAAAAATTGTCATTTCCTGCCTTAAAAAAGAATCAATGGCTCCCCATTAAATCTAAAATAAGATCCAAATCCCTTGTAATAGTTTCAAAACACTCCAAAATCTGGATCCTACCCATCTCTCCAGCCTCACTGCCCATTACTTCATCCCCACTCCCACACACCCCACACCACCAGCATAATCAACTCCCTCCATGCCTTTACACCTGCTTTTGTGTCTTACTGAAGTGGGCTTTCTAGTCCTCTTTACCAACAAAACAACTCTTTATCAATTAATATCTATTAAAATATTACTTCCTCCATGAAGTTCTACGCCCTGCACCCCTATCTTGCCAATGCACAAGCCCAGCAAAACATCAATCCTGAATCAATGCCACAGTCTCCTTCATAATTCCTAAGGCCAGTGAACTGAGCACAACTGAAGAAAATCAGAGACTCTCAGGCACAATTATAAACACATGATCTTCACCCTCAGCTGGATTTTCAGCATTTGCTCTAACAACCGTGTTCGCAACTTTTTAACCGATCAGCTCCCTATTTTGCTCTCAATGACTATTTTAAATTAAACTATTTTTCTCAACTTCTCCACTCAACTGCTTGGTCCCTAATCTCTCAAGAAATAACCCTGACTCATTCATTACCTAGAAAGCAGACCTTCTGGGAGCCACCCCACATCCAAACTAACTCTCCTTTGTAAGCTGTCTCCTTCTAGTGAAAGGCCAACACCCCCCACTGTGTCCTTATAGCCATTCTCCCCTTCTCTTCAGCCCACAAACTTTGCTTGACCCTAGGCCTCCCTCAACCTGTTAACCAATCTCTTTCCCTTCTTACGCTCTAGACTGCTCTGGAGCAGTCTATCTCTCCTTTTTTCTCAGCGACCATTAAACCAAGCAATCTAGCTTACCCTCCTAAAATTCTACACAACAGCTTTAGCAAAATTCCTAAAAATTTACCCTCCTGATTTCTGTGCCCTCACAGTCTTCCTATTCTGATACTTGCCTATCCTCTTCATGACCTCCTTTTCTCACTTCCCCTCCATATCAGTGCTTCCAAGCACCTCCATTTGGCCCATCACTCTTTCAACACTGTGCTTTCTCTAAATAATTTCACTTTCCCTCCTAGTATCCATTTACTACCAGTATTCATATGCAGAAGCCTCCCAAACATTTATTACCAGTATATTGTACTCTGTGCCTACTCATATATTCACTGCCCAGTCATCTCCACTTATTACACAAACACATCAAATCTGGCATAACCAATATTTAAATCTTTTATCTGCCTGTGCTCTACATTTTAAATGGAGAAGCTCTTATAGGCACCCCAGAAGTCATTCTTAATTGGCCCCTGTTCCCCCCTCTCCCCATATTCAATCATCAAGTCCTGATGATTTCATCACCTAAATATTTTCTCGGTCTATCCCATCCTCTTACCCCCTGCCAGTTCAGGCCTCCTTGATCTATTAATAAAACTATGCCAACAGAATCATAACTGGTCTCTGATTCTAGACTCAAATTCCTCTTAAATCTGTCCTCATTGCTGCCAAAGTGATTTTTAAGGAAAAATCTATTGTCACTTCCTAGCTTAAAATTTTTCAGTAAATTTCCCTTACAAGCTAAATACATTTTCTCTTCCGTTCCAGGGTTTTCAAGGCTTTGCATTTTCTGGCCCCTATTTGCCTCTCCTGCTCTCTTCTTGCCACTCTCAGCTACATATTTCATAATCCAGTAATAATAAATTGTAATCCTAATTTACTTACTTCTCTGCTTGGCCTGACTAACTCATATTCATACTTTAGTTACTTTCAAGTGTCAAATGGAAGCGATCTTAAAGACCAACATCTTCCACTCCACAGGTGGATTAGATTCCCCTTCTATGCTCTCATACTTCCCTAAGCATCTATCAGTGCACTTACAAATGTTATTTCATAATATGTTTTCACATCTGTTCAGCCCTTAGCCTAAACAGTAAGCTCCTTGAAGACAGAAATAGTCTTTTTCATCTTTATATCCCCAGCGTCCAGCACGTGCAATTACAAGTACTCGGAAAATTTTTCTTGAATGAATAAAACACTTTTTCCAACTTCTCCATTATCTAACTCCTACCACCTACTACCACCATCAGCAATCCCACCCTGCTACACGGGCTCTGACCTACATATTTGCCACTTAAAACACCGCCCTGAGCATTTCTATCGGCTGTCTCTATTCTCTGCTAGACGAAGAGCTCCCGAAGCAAGAGGACCGGTCATATTCACCTAACTCCAATACCTGGCGCATGGGTAGAAGAATGAATGAAAATATTTGGCAAGGCTGAGAGAGTGCGTCTTGGACTTCTTTCTCACACATCCTCCTCCAAGCTCAGATTCTTCCTAGGGACCGAGGGACTGGGGACCCGTGATATCCCCGACAAGCACACACCCCCGGGTCCCTACTTGCTCAGGCTGGGACGATCGCCGCCGCCCGCACACCAACCCCCACCGTGCCGTCCTCTCCCGTCCTTAAGTTGTGGAGGTCGCGGCGGGCTCACCGGCAGGCGGAACTCCAGGTGCTCTTGAGCCATGAGCAGCAGATATCTATTCAGGGAGCACGACAGCGCCATTGCAGCCGTCCAAGGTGCGCCTGCGCGGCTCGCGCAGTTTCCCACCTTTACTCCTCCTCCTTCTCACAAAGCCTTTTCCGCTGAGGCGGAGCCTGAAGGACCGGAAGCGGAAGCTGGGAGAGGTGGGCGCTGTCCCGGGGTTCCCGCACTGGTACTTTGAGCTTGGCAGCTGCTGGAGGAGCAATGTCCGCTTGCGAGGTGCTTTCTGGTTGAGTGCCGGAGTACGAGTAGCTGGTGTGATGGGCCGTGTTGTGTTCAGGAGCAGGTTGTGATAACACAAGTAGTTTCCATTGATCCTCCCACCAGGAGCGAACTTTCAACCTTCTCTACAGCAATTCCAATCCTCGTTCTTCGAAACTGGACTGGAATTTCACCTTATTACTTCACACTTCTCTAACCACTCCAAGATTGGACGACCTGGACCACTCATCTAACGTGCAGTATACTTTTTGTATTTTTTCAATAACTTCTAAAGGATACATAGCATCTGCGCCAACTACAATAAGCTCTTGACCTAGACCATCTTTTATGGTTCATTCTGTACCTCCCCAGAAAACAAAATGTCATCCTCAGAGGAAGTACTCAATAAGTAGGAAGTTGTGATGTTAGACTCACAGGCTCAATCCACAGCCAACTCTATATTAAAACGATGGAAATGCATCTAACTATCCACACTGGCACAAATTTCATAGTAGCACATAAAATAAGTAGTAGCGTATTCACAAATTTTTTAAATTTGCATAGCCCATGTATATGTGTATTGCTTTTGAGAGTACTGAATCCTTTGCCTTATTGAGAGCAATTTCTTTTGCCTCCCACCATAACGTTGTGCATAATACAAGAGTACTGCATATCCCGAGCACCATGTGCTGGGAATATACTAGATACTTAGTAGCAGTGATTAAGAATTTAGGTTGTGGTGTCAGTCTTAGGTTCAAATCTCAACTTCACTATTTACAATCTATATGCTCTTAAGCAAATTTCTTAGCCTCCTTTGACAGCAGTTTTATCTAAATTGGAATACTACTGCCTCTGTCAAGGGATTATTAGGATTAAGTGGAATAATGTACATAAAGTGTTTAATGTTAATACCTGGTATATTGTACAAACCAATAAATGGAATTTAAGGAGACTTTTCTCCTCTTAAAGTGTGAAAATTTTCTCTTAACAAACAATCTCTTTGCTAGGAAAATGTCTTGATAAGTCCACTTAAGTGATAAAGTGAGTCTCTGAGGAACACAGATGTCTCTTGGCTCCAAGGCCTCAGAAAAGGGATAAAAGTGCTCTGAGACATGAGAAGAGGGGTCAAGGTAGGACAGAGAACCAATGAAACATTAGGGGAATGACATGCAGTGCTTGATATGTCCCATCACCAAAACTTGTCAGAATCACCAAACATTAAATTTTGATGGGGCAACTTTTTAGGGGATATCATGCCTGGATTACGATGATGCTGTGTAGAGACAGCAAATGAGAACACACAGTCTAGGAGAACCCAGACAAATTCAAGTTTCACTGGTTCTGCACATGAATTTCCTTAGCTTCCTTTAAGCTAAATCCCCACTAATTCTCCATTCCATAAATGAGCAGACCATGTACATCATGAATCTCAAACTGTTGGGTACATGGTCTGGGAAAGTAGAAATTAACCCTGCACAGGCCAGGCCATTAGCGGTAGTGTGGAACTACTCATTAAACAGCCTTTGAGGAAGTCAGACAGCTGTTCCATGTTTTTGAGCTTAGAGTCCTTAAGAAGCAGCAAGAGAGTACAGACTTTGAAAGTTGGTGTTTAAACATCTGGAGATTTGCAATTTTTTTTTTTTTTAATTTGTACTGGAAGGGGCAAGAGAGTTCATAGTCTGTCTTCTGGGAACTGCTCTAAAGCTCTGTCCATGCTTCATCTACCAGGGCAGACTTCTTAGAAACTTGGCTGCTTCTGTGAGATTACTATTGTGCAAGCATTGGAGTATCTGGTAATAGGCTGATGATGATTGGAAAACCATGGTTATTCCTGAATATTTGGGACCAGAAATTGGAGAGAAGGATCTTGAGTTCTGGTTATAACATGTTGCTATACTGCTGAGACTAGTAGGGCAGAATCAGTGAGGAAAGGAAATGAGTAAAGAGTTCATAGGTCCCAGCAGCAGAAGTTATATGTAATGTTAAAACTGTCCATACATCTGTCTCAGGCTGAGCATCTAACACTTGAAAAGGGATTGGGTATCACAGAGAACCGTGGAGATTTGTGTACCAATGAGGGGTAGCAAATTTCCTTACAATGTGTGTTAAGACTAGAAGATTTTTGCAATGAGGAAAAAACAGTTTGAACAGTTTGGAGAATAAAGTTTTATTGGAAGAAGTTATGTAACAACTATGGAAACTTCACTATAGTGAAGTGAAACTTCCTGACAGAGTTTCAGTTTCATGAAATGCCAGAGGGTCTCCAGTAACTTCAATCTTAATGAAGATAATCCAGGAAGAGGGTAAGAGAGAACTAACACTGGGTTCTCTTAGGAAATAAAACAAGTAGGGACGAGGCACCAATTTAAACTTATGCAGCTGCAGTTGATTTAAGTATGACTCAAGATCTCCAGAAGTGGAAAAAAGTAGAGCTTGTCATCTGGTCAAAAAACTCCCCAGAACAAACCTGAAATGCTGATTGTAAATTAGGCCTACTAATTTGCTACCTGTGAATTGTTGGTTCTGTGCACAGAAAAAAATGTGAAGGAAAATGGGCTGGAGATTCAGCCTTCTGTCCAGGTCATCCTTAAACTCTTAATGCTGCCACAATTCAAATAATCAAAAGCCATGCACTTCCAGACATATGATTGAGCTAGGCTAGAGAACAACTTTTCCCATATCTTAGCAACTGGCTGCAATAGAAACAGGTTTCCATAAGGAGCCTAACCTAGGGCCTACCAAAATTAGGGATGCCTTCCTTCCTTGGGCCAGTCCTTAATTTGGTTCTTTTGTTTGCAGTGAGGTTGAGCTTGAGGTTGAGATACCAAAAAACATTTTACTCTACTTGTATTCCACTCCAAATACAAGGCAAGGCAAGACCTGGATATTATCCACACTGCACTAGGCTTCAACTTTGTAGCTTAGGTAGCTTTGCACATTTTTGAGTGGGACGCCATTTAAATACTTCTCTTGGGCAGAACTTTGTGAACCAGAGGTAATGTAAATTCACAGTGCATTTGCCAGGTTTGAGCCAGGCCTTTTGTCCTTCCTCCTTCCCTGCTTCCCACTTTCCTTCTCCCCTTCCTTCCTTCATTCCTAAAATATAAGAAGCAAACATGATTTCTAAACAAAGAAAGGCTTTTGGCAAGTAATATGCAAATATTAACATTCCTTCCTGAGAATCTACTGTAACAGGGCACTAGGAGTTTTACTCAGTCCTACAGGACACGGGATCTTAAAGTTGGCTGCGTGTTGGAATTACCTGAGGAATTTTCAAAAATACGGGGCCTGGACTCTATCGCTAGGGATTCAAATTGAACTTGGGGTGTGGCATGAACATATTTTTAAAAACTCCTCAGTTAATTTGATGGCAACCACCAGCAACTTCATTACTTGAGAACCACTTAGAAATGCAAAGTCCTGCCTACCCTCAAATTTGCTGAATCAGAAACTTGGGGGAAGGATCCAGCATTCTGTTTCAAACAGTCCCACCAGGTGGTTTGGTGCACACTGAAGTTTGAGAATCCTTGCCTGGGAAAGAAGAGTATGGATAGATAGGCTTTGAGTCCCAGTACTGCGTACGCCTGCTTGGGGAGAGAACTTATGTGATAAATTGGCAAAATGCTGCAAATATTTTTCTGAGAAGGTGTAACAAGAAGAAAGTATTCCTCTCTTATCAACTTGATTGAGAATCTCAAGAGAATCTCCTTAGCTGAGAAGATATCTAGAATAGCCTACTTAGGTGATTTCCTGTGGGCAATGAATGTTGGCTAGAACAAAGGCTTCAGAGAGAATTTTTAAAATTCTAATGTAAAGAGAAGAGAAATATGTTCTAGTGGTGCCTGGGTGGCTCAGTTGGTTAAGTATCCAACCTGAGCTCAGGTCATGATTTTTCAGTCTGTGAGTTCGAGCCCCGGATCGGGCTCTGTGCTGACAGCTCAGAGCCTGCAGTCTGCTTTGAATTCTGTGTCTTCCTCTCTCTCTTCCCTCCCCTGTTCTCTCTCTCTGTCTCTCTCAAAAATAATGATTAAAAAAAGAGAAATATGTTCTAAAGGCAAGGGGAGAAGTAGAGGGAAAAGTCAGCAAGATGGCAGGAACTAGATGACACTTTACCATTGCCCTGCCAAATTTGGTTATTAAATGCTTGAAATGCTTGGTGTGGGTTAATTCTTCAGAAACTCAAAGAGGTTTTACACCTAAATTATAGTGGTTGTGCATACTGCCATTAAGAACATAAGGCCAGGGATATCCAGCTGACATCTAGGTTATACTCTTGATTTTTAGATTGAAAGTAGTTGAAATGAAAGTTATCATAGTACTCAATTAGATTTTGGTTTGTTGTGGTAACATTTTAAGGGACTCAGAGATTAAAATAAAACATTTATTGACCAGTAATATAAATCAGTCATTGAGCTAAGGCAATGGGGGCATAAGATAAAAAATTAGATTCCCCAGCTCAAAAAAAGCTCAAAATCCAGTGGCAAGAGACATCCTATTATTCCCCAGTTAGACTGTGTAAGGTTCATGCTAAGAAAAAATATCATGGATTAGAGCTGAAGAACCAATACTGTGGTTGTGGATTGGAGTATTAGGGAAGACTTCCAAGAGGCAATAACCCAGTTATGAAAAGTAAACAGATTTCCAAGGGTGTGCTCAGTTTAGTTGGAATAGCAAAAATGGTTGGCATATGGGATACAAGTGCAGGAGATGAAGCTGAAAATGCTGATGAATAATTCTGAGGGAACACAGTGGGGTTTTCATGGTCATAATGTAGAAAGAACTCTGATGGAGACTGTGCTAGAAAGGAAGCCAGTGGGGGC